AAAAAATGGAGTACACTTGCAAGAGACTGTCTTTTCTTTACATTTGCTTGTTCTCTAATCCTCAGTAAGCTAAACTTTATCTTCAGCAAATTGGAAGACTAAATATGTTTATGTTGGCTTCCCTGGTGGCGCAGTGGTTAAGAATCCGCCTGCTAATGCAGGGGACACGGGTTCGAGCCCTGGTCCGGGAAGATCCCACATGCCACGGAGCAACTAAGAGCCTGTGTTGCGCACCTAGAGCCGTTTCTCCACAACAAGAGAAGCCACCGCAATGAGAAGCTTGCGCACAGCAACAAAGAGTAGTCCCCGCTCGCTGCAACTAGAGAAAGCCTGTGTGCAGCAACAAAAACCCAACAGAGCCAAAAATAAATAAATAAATAAAATAAATGAATAAAAAACAATAGTTCACATAAGAATCACAAAATCTTAGCACTTGATGAAAATATGAAAACCAGGATGGGAACCCAGATTAACCCTCTCTCCCAAAATAACTTAAAATTATCACCACCCAAAGCAATGAAAATACTGTGCTCAGTTGAAAAGAATCTGAAATTTTGTGTACTTATTAAAATGACAAAAGAGCATTTTCTGAACATTTTGGCTTAGAAGTTTGAGTTTTCAAATTTTAGCCCTACACCACCACATTTTTATTCTGTAAGTTCTTATATTTCAAAACAGTTACATTCATCATGTATGTGACAATATTTAATTTCTGGCTTCCAGACAGCTGGCTTGTCCCTTGTCATTAATGAGTAGTAAATACAAGGTCACCCTTAGCCCAATCCTAGTTGAGGAATTCAAAAGAAAAGTCAGAAATGAATTACTTCCCGGTAAACAAATCCCCAGTGGATTTACCAACTCTAGTCAGTCAGCCCAGCACTTGTGGGCACTTGTATGCACACACAGGTGTGCACACACACACACCAAAAATAACACTACATCAAACAAATTTTTTTCTGCCTTCTCTTCTTCATTTATCTTCCCATTTACTCATTATTTCCTTGCCATTATTAACTATTATCTTTCTTCAGAGGTTTAGTCGCATACTTCCCTATCAGCCTTGCCCTTTCTTCTGCTCAAATCCCCAAACTTCCACGACTTTCTGGGTCATAAAGTAAATTGAGACATCTGCATAAAAGTATATCTGCATATGTGAAATTTAGAGGGAAAAATATTAAAAACTATACTTAAAATTCTCAGAATTTAAAAATGTAGAATAATTTTAAAGAAAAGAGAATGGTTAATATTTAGCAAAAAATATTATGTAAATAACAAGGATTGTAAATAACTGGCGGAGTTTCCCTTTCATACTCTGGATGACAAGAAGCCTACAGCAAAATCTGAGGCCCAACTATGTATGACCCTTAGGGCCCAGCTATTTTTTCTACCCTATCTTGACTACTTCCTGTAATTTATAATTTTAATGTCCCTGTGCTTATCATAAACCTTATAATTCAGATCCTTTGATGTTCAGAAGTCTTTAAATGAGTAAAATAGAGACTAGTGAGCAACAAGGCAACATTTCCAGTTTCTCAAGTAACAGTCATCATACTACCACTTAAAATTCAGCCTCACCACAAAGGATTATATAATCAGATTCAAGCAGTACAGTAAACGACTATGTTTTTAAAAACTTGGGTCTTTGGTTTTAGATACAACGGCATCTGAAGATTAAAAAAAAAAAGATTTACTATGCTCTTGCAAAAGCAATATAGTTTGTGCAATAACACTGTTGCTACATGAAAATGCTTGATAAAATGTTGTTAAGAGGCATCTGGTGGCAGGGTCTGGGGAAGGGGCGGCAGGCGCCACGTCGGGCCACGAAAGTGGCAAGAAGAAGCCCCTGAAGCAGCCCAAGATGCAAACCAAGGAGATGGATGAGGAAGATAAGGCATTCTAGCAGAAACTGAAGGAGGAGCAAAAGAAACTCGAGGAGCTAAAAGCAAAGGCTGCGAGGAAAGGCCCCCTGGGCACAGGCGGAATTAAGAAATCTGATAAAAAGTAAGCTGCTTCTAGACTCCACGTATCCAGGCAAGTTAATGAACAACACACACACACATACACATGTGCACACAGCAGCAGCAACAACAATCTATGGGGTGGGGGGCAGGGGTAAGAAATGAGAATCTAGATTTGCTACCATATATTATCAAATATGTCTACTTATCAAAAAAAAAAAAGTAAGCTGTTCCTTGTGCCTGAGGCAATGATGATCCTTAATTCCATTCCTGTTTAAACATCTGGATTAAACATCTGGATTCCCTGCCATAACATCTGTTGCCACCTATAGCTAGAATGAAGTGTTGTCTTGAAACCTATTGTACATTTAAGAATAAACTTTTGTAAAAAACAAAATCATTAAAAAAGAAAGTGTTGTTAAGACAAAACTTCCCTGCCTAGCTGACTATAATAATCAAATCTTTTTTGGATTCAGAACATGAACAAGTGATGGAATTTCTGCAAGAAGGAGTCAAAGAAACATTGTATCATAGAGCACTTAGAGCATACATGTAGGAATCAAACGTTTGGGATAATACTTGCTGTAGGAATGATTTTTCACAAAAGACCAAAAGAGAAAGAAATACTCAGATTGTTACCCCTTCCCAGCCTGAAATTTTAAATTACAGAATTTTTTTTTGAAGAACTATAAATGAAATACTATTTTCATATTATTGCCTGGTGATTTAAGAATAAACAAAAAAATTATTTTAAAATAAAATCTGTTACAGCAATCACACTGCATCTGATAAATATAAGAACTTCTATTTGCCACTGTATCAAGTGGCTAAGAGAAAAAAGAAATCACTATTTTTGAGAACTGAAGTATTTTTCTATTTTCAAGTACAAAGAAGTATAGTTAATTTAAAGATTTGGCACAGAATAAGACAATTAAAATTCTATTGTCAAATAATAGATAAATTCAAAGAGTTGAAATATGCTAGCAGTGTCACTAGCCTTGACCAGAGGAACTTTCAGATGTGTTAAGACGTGTAAGAACCATCTTTAGGGGCTGAGCCCAGGAATAAAATCTGGGATTCTGCCAAGACTATTCCTCCTGCAACACAAGGCAAAGCTTTTGTGTGACACAACAGTAGATCCAAATTTCTTGCCAATATCATGTACCTTTATTTTTGCAGCATATGAATGAAATCACCCTGCTCTTGGAAAGTCTGTTAATTCTTAAGAAATAAACCAAGGAAAAGGGAGTAGTAAACCAGTTCAAGCAACATTTTGGTTTTTGTGGTTGTATATTAAAAAATAAAATAGTAGTTGATGAGAGTGATAGCTAAAAAAAAATGGAAATAACTAGATTGACTTCCATGTGGTTAGAGCTACATTTGATGAACTTGGGTCTACTCAGCATACCTCTGCCTCCCATCCCTGCCCTTCTCATAGCTCCTCTTCTGCAAATGAGTGCTTTATATTGCAAAGGCCACCAAGTCCAAAAACTATAATAGCTTTCCTTATTTTGCCATCATTTTTATAGCTCCTATCAAGTTCAAGTTTGGGGGTACACGTAACGAACTGAAAAAACTAAGAAATGCCAGTCTTTTAAAGTTTAGCAACATGTAGGCTCACATAAAACACTTTTTTAACGTTTAAGGCCAATTTATTTTGTAAATTTTCATCTCCTATTTGAAATCCTTAACTTACTATAAATATATATGTATCTTTAAAAATGATCAGAAATGGGCGCAAAAGCATGAAATGTATTTTGAGTTCTTTTCAAGAAAAGATATATCTCTCCTCTCTTATCAAATAATGCTACCCCTTCCTAATGACAAGCACTTCTTGAAGAGAACAACAATATCAAAACCAATCCTATTCCAAAATATATCATTTGTAGAGATAAAAAATAAAGCTTGAATATTAACTTGGAATTTATATTATATTAATTTTATTCAGACATAAGTTACCTAGTGAATTAAAAAGGAGCCACTTACACAACCAGGTGAAACAGGATAAGCAAAAGAAAACTGTTCATAAATGGGCAATATACTAATTAGTATTCTGTTCTGCTTTAATTAATTTAAGAGAATCATTAGCTAAATCAACTATGTAAAATATAATTTCACAGTATTTGAAATTATGTAAAACTTTTCTTTATATCTAAGATATTTTAAAACTTGCCTATAATTAGTTGGATAAACTGGTTTTTACAGATCTCATAAACTGTAACCCATATTCTGTTCAATTATTACAAATATTGAATTAGGTTCAATTTAATAAGACTACTATATTTGCAGTATTAACTAAGTCAGATATGGAATTATTATATTTAATTAAGGTTTAATTTTAAGATATTATCTTAAACATTTCTGGTTTGTCTTCAAAATACTTTATTTTTTCAGTTTTCTATATGGACATTTAATAGAACATGCCACTACCTTTGCAGTTGGATTTTACTACTATCCTTTATCTGAACTGAGAAGTACTAGCCAACAGATCAAATAATTAAGAGGTTATACAATTTGAGGTAGCATCTTCACAAATCCTTTATAGAAAGACACCATGTCAAAAGTATGTCAAAATTCTCACTAAGCTAAATTCTGACAATCTCTGTCAAATTCAGAAACAATGAATTTCAGTTAAAAATACGTAACTTATATTAAATACATTCTCCTTAACAGCTTTTATTTTAAAAACACCTTCTACCCCCAAGTACAGTTAATACTTCTGTCTAAACCTCATTCTCTTCCCAGTTTTCTCATTTTTATCATATTTTTTCCCCATTAAAGTAAGCATATTGTATTTTGGTTTCTTTTCTCCCTACTCATTGTTCAGATCAGCATTTTAAAAATCTTTTAAGCAATGCTGTTCAAAGAAAACAGGCTATATGAAGCTAAAGAAAATTCCCTAAGTTCAATGTTTTTCAACCTGAGATCATCTTCCTGGACCTATTTATTAAAAATCCACACAAATCAAACACTACAACTGTAAACAGCTACAGAAAATTGGAAGCTTAAAAATAAAGCCGTTGAAAACACTTCATTACACACCTTCTCTGTGAAGCCCTTTGTTTCCACTGAAAACCATACTGGAATCCTTGTATAAAATAAGTGGCCTTCTGGCTGTCAATAGCTATACAGTCAGTAACTGAGGGATCCAGATGTCTGCAGTGGTTAAAACAAATGTTCAGCAGTGGGTGCTGATTCCGCTTCCCTCTGTGTAAGGTTTTTCACAAAGGCAGCAGAGTAAGAGCTCACATAGCAACAGCACTCACAGCTGATTGGATGGAGGATACGCTCTGCCGCCCCTGCTCGCTAGGTCCACTACAGCTTCCTGTCTGCTTGGCAGTGGTATCTTGTTGTCTTTGCTCCTCTTACCAACTCAGCTGTGTTTAGGCAACGTGAAAGGAAAGATCAGGAGAACGATAATGACAAAGTATTCTAGCATGAGCCCCTAAAATGTGCATCTCTGGGTGCTTTTAAAAAGGAGAGAAATTCATAGGGCAAACATTTACTTCAGTCAGTGTTTCACATAAAACTGAGGACAAAGAGGGGTAGTGGAGGGAATCAATTTATTACTTCGCATTTCAAGTAAATCAGGCTCTACCAAGTGAAACCCTCTGAAAACAAAGAATACAAAAATTTTCGACAATTAGGATAAAGCATCAACCTCCATCTACCTAGAACTATGAATTACTTTACAACAAAGTTCACAAATTCCAAGAAAATCACGCAGGACCAGTTAGATAGTTAAAATGAGACAGGGCCTAAAAATAGTCCTCCCTCAAATTTATGCAGTGCCTTTTAAGAGGGCAAGAAAAACTGAGGTTAACAGACTTAGAAAAAGATTTTAAAAGGAAAAAATAATTGCTTAATAAACTGACAACAATAAAAGATTTAACTAGGTATCTGCATTAATAATATCTCTTCTTACATAAACGACAATGACATAAAATATAAAACAACGGCACTGACCCTGGATTAATTTATTTTCTCTATCATAAAAGTATCTGGAGACAGGAAGGCATAGGAATTTTTTTACCCCTAGGTTTCAAATACTGGGCTTCAATGTACCAATCTACACTATCTCCACAAGCTTTAACAACAAAAACAAAAATCCATCCCCAATTTACGAAGATGTTTGGGGGAGTCAATGCAAGTGTAGTAGGAGATAAACAGATACGAAGAATCGGAAAAATTCCTCATTTAGGAAATATTTCCCTTGAACTTCACACAAGCTAGGATAGTGTTTTTCAAATTTTTAAAGCAATGAAACCCTTTTAATTTGCATTCTTCCAATAAAATGCATTATTAGTGGTGGCATTAGGATTTCTATACAGGAGGGGTTTGTGGGAGTAGGAAGAGGCAACAGCAGAAGCATACTGTTTATTACTCAGATCTTTGTTTATGTGGAGTGTCTTGTGGGTAGGGCAGAGAGGCTGATGGAAATGTTGGCACTACTAAAGCACCCCATGAGCACCACGAGGCTATTTTTAAATGAGAGGCTACAAACAACACTGCAGTTTCATATCAGCCCCAGAATCTACAAAATTCCTACCCTTGAAAAAGCTTTTAGGATCTCTCGAGTTCTACAGTATACAAACAAGAGATATAACCTGTAAGAGTTAAATCTTATTATTACCTTAGTGTAAGGAAAGAATCTGATCCTTGGCTCCACAATTAGCCAGAGGGAGAGCTGCTAAGCCCTCTGAGAAATAACAAGAGAGAAGATGTGTTTAGGAGCACAATAACCGCTGAGCTAAGTGACTCGGAGAAAGAATGGCATAGTAGAGAGAACAAGGACGCTGGAGTCAGGCTGACCAACCTGGGTTCAAAATATGAATCTGCCATTTACAAACAGTAAGACACTATACAAATTACTTAACCACTCTGAGCTTCAGTTTTTTAATCTATAAAATGGAGTTAACTCACAGGACTATTGTGAAGGCTAAAAGGTGCTCTTTGCCAGCCAGACTGCTTTTTTGGTTACTAAGTCTCTTCAAAACTTAGGGTCTTTGCAAATACTATTCTTCTTTTGCTAGGACTGGTCTCCCACAACCCCTTCCATTGATAAGTCTCCATTAAATTTCTCTTCCCCGGGGCAGCTTTCTGTGAGCCAAGACTAGTCTCAGGCTCCCTGTACTTTTTTCTTAGTACTTAGCTCACAGAATGTTAAATAATTATTTGCAAAAAGACTGGTTGGACATTCTCCTCCACTACACTGTAAGTGCTTTAAAGGGAGGTACTACATCTGTCTACATTATTGCTTACCTAACACCATGCCTGATTTATATTCCACATACTATTTTATTTGATTTCATAACCTTGGGAGGTAAATACAAGTATCATTATCGGCCTTGTTCAAATAAGAAAATCAGCTCTAAATGTTTATTTACTCAAGTCATACAACTAGAAGTCAAAGGAAATAAATTTTTTTAAATTTTTGGATGAATAACTTTATAATTCAAAATTAACTTCTGGGCTTCCCTGGTGGCGCAGTGGTTGAGAGTCCGCCTGCCGAGGCAGGAGACACGGGTTCGTGCCTTAGTCTGGGACGAGCCCACATGCCGCGGAGCGGCTGGGCCCGTGAGCCATGGCCGCTGAGCCTGCGCGTCCGGAGCCTGTGCTCCGCAACGGGAGAGGCCACAACAGTGAGAGGCCCACATACCACAAAAACAAAAAAACAAAAACAAAAACAAAATTAACTTCTTCCTATATCTTTGAAAAAAAGAATATATAATCTCTAAACTGTTTTAGAATACTTCCTTTCAGTTAGAATTCTTAAACTTTTTAATTAAAGGCTAATGATAGCCTGTTTCTATAATCTAAAACTACTGATTAACATATATAAAGAGAACTTATTGAAAAAATATTACCTTTAATCAGAAATATGTAATTATAAGTGAATAAAATGAACTCCAAGAGACATGCCACCTTAAAAAGTAAAATCCAACCAAGAGATTTATTTAGTGAAATGCTTCCTCTGCTACCAGTTTTCTAAATGGTAAATAAATTTCAAAATGGCACTTTATATAACTCTGAAGAATGCATGCTTTTTTTCCTGGGTCATCTTGGTACACAAAGCTATAAATAATCTCAACAGTCTACAAGTTAAGAATCTGAATAGGACTTCCCTAGAGGCGCAGTGGTTAAGAATTTGCCTGCCAAGGCAGGGTACACAGGTTCAAGCCCTGTTCCGGGAGGATCCCACATGTCGCGGAGCAACGAAGCCCGTGCGCGACAACTACGGAGCCTGCACTCTAGAGCCTGCGAGCCACAACTGCTGAGCCCACATGCCACAACTGCTGAGGCCCTGCACGCCTAGATCCTGTGCTCCACAACAAGAGAAGCCACCGCAATAAAGAGTAGCCCCCGCTCGCCACAACTAGAGAAAGCCTGCACGCAGCAACAAAGACCTAGCACAGCCAAAAAAAAAAAAGAATCTGAATAATATAAAATGCTATACTAAATACTAGTCTCAGGTTCTCAATTCTCAACACTTAACCATGAAAAACCCCCTTTTTGCCCAGCGTGGTCATAACTGTACTCTCCATAGACCAGTTCAAGAAATATAAATTATTTATATTATACTAATGTAAGGAAATAAATAGGAAAGCAGATCTTCCATAAGAGTTTTCTAAGGTACATATTCCAAATATAAAATGGAAAAATTTGAATTATCAACTGTTTCAGATCATTTGTGTCCTCTGTTAGCAGAAATAATTGGGAACTATCTACTTTTAAGATACCTTAGATATAACCATGTTAGCTTGGACAGTTTTTAAACAAAAAGATATACTTCTAGAAGAAAAAAATAACCCTTCAAAGGTAATGATTACATAGCTGCTATATATGTAGGCCCACGGGCCAGGCATGGGGCTAATTTCTTTACATGCCCATCTCTTCTGACTCTATGGTAGTTAACTATCCTGAGAGATAAGGAAACTGGCTTGTAACCTGCCCAAGTAAGCAGAACTAAGTGGGCAAAGCCAGGAAGTAGGTCTTCCTAAATCTAATATGTGTGTTCCTAACAATTCCTTTCATAATTACATTTCCATAAGATAAATATGGCATCACATAAGAATAAAGTTTAAATACAGAAATCTCAAGTTAACATTTTCCACTTATTACTCATTCAATAATCACCACTACAGCCCCATTACACCTCAGAACTGTCATTGATACACTACTTATAATACAGAAAAACAGGATTTGACTGCTAAACAGGGAGCCAGGCTGTAGCAATAGTGAAGGCACAATAAAAGATTCAATCTGTAAAACTTCACTACTTTATGGTCACAGAACACATACCTGATTCAGAGAAAGTATAAAGGGAGTATTATACAAATGAACATTGAACCAGGAACCACAGATCTGGGCTCTAGTCTGAACTCTACCACTAATGAGCTTTGTGATCTTAAGCACTTCTCTGAAATTGCTCACGTCTAAGTCAGGAATCTTTTTTTTTTTTCCTTTCCTTTTTTTTTTTTTTTTTGCCTGCAATATTGGTATGTTGCAAGGATCAAATAGGACAAGAAACAATTATTTTGAAAACAGCAAAATGCTACACAAATAGGATATTGTCATCCCTGGTGGTCAGTCTTCTACGGGTTGGCACAGTAAACATGTTTGCACAAAATCCAGTGTAATTACTGAAAAGATCCCTTAAAGCAGCAAGACATAATGGAGAAGAGCCAGACAGTCTAGCGTTCAAGTTCTTTGCACTTAACAAGCTGTGCTATCAAATTATTTAACCTACCTCAGTCTATTTCTTCATCTGTAAAGTGGGAGTAATAATTTCTCTAAGAGTTATGAACCATCTAGTCCAATACTTGCTCTCAAGCAATTTAAGTGTCCTCTTTTCTTTTGCAAACATCAGTTCCATAAGATGTTACTAAAGAGCAAATGTACATGCATACACACATACACATACCAACAAATAAAGGGCAATACATCAGTAGTATCCCATATTAATAACAGTGGGGATAAAATTTAAATCTTGACTACCAAAGAAAGATTTTTATGACACTGATTTTTTTTTTTTTTTTTTTTTTTTTGCGGTACGCGGGTCTCTCACTGTTGTGGCCTCTCCCGTGGCGGGGCACAGGCTCTGGACGCGCAGGCTCAGCGGCCATGGCTCACGGGCCCAGCCGCTCCGCGGCATGTGGGATCTTCCCGGACCGGGGCACGAACCCGTGTCCCCTGCATCGGCAGGCGGACTCTCAACCACTGTGCCACCAGGGAAGCCCGACACTGATATTTTTTAAGTTTGTTAAATGATGTCACTTTGACAACACGTTTCACAGCTCACTAACTTATTTGCAAGAAAGACTAAACAAAACTAAATTTTACAGTTTGGGAAATTAGGGAAATTTATGGTTTTTCTAATTAAATCAGAGTTTTTATTCAAAAATTATGCTGTCAGGTCACTACTGGGATAAATTAAGCCATAAAAAGCGATATTAATTTCCACTCACATGGAGATTCCTAGTGATCATTATTGCTGAAATGATTATCCAGTGATTTGTATTTATTATGACATGGTACCAATAAACCACGTGGCCAAACAACAATCCAAACATACTGTGTTTTTAAGAGCTAAAACACTTCTTAAATTAAAAATAGTAAAATGTACCTAAGAGACTTAATTGGGATTCTCATCTTTCAAAAGATTTGGGGTTATGATGACCTACATTAGTTCCAGGAGCAGAGCCTTGTTTACAAAATCTAAGATCTTGGAGAGAAGAAAATGTTCTAGCCTGTTTTTTGGCATCACTCATACTACATTGTTTAAAATGAGCTAGAACAGGGATTATTTATAATCTAAGCTAGTGGACAAACACTCTAATAATACCCACACACTAGTCAGATTTAATAAGTATCAAGATCAGGTATAAGAATCCATTTTTAATATCCTATAGTACTTGGTCTTAATAAAAATATCATTATTTTTTTAAAAAATAATTAATTAATTAATTTTTGGCTGCATTGGATCTTCATTGCTACACCTGAGCTTTCTCTAGTTGTGGCAAGCAGGGGCTACTCTTGGTTGCGGTGCGCAGGCTTCTCATTGCAGTGGCTTCTCTCCTGTTGCAGAGCACAGGCTCTAGGCAGTGGGCTTCAGTAGTTGTGGCACGTGGGTTCAGTAGTTGTGGCTCGCGGGCTCTAGAGCGCAGGCTCAGTAGTTGTGGTGCACGGGCTTCATTGCTCCACGGCATGTGGGATCTTCCCGGGCCAGGGCTCGAACCTGTGTCCCCTGCATTGGCAGGCAGATTCTTAACCACTGCACCACCAGGGAAGTCCCCTATCATCATTATTAAATATGTGCCAGGATGCACATGGGTTCCCCTTTACCTATACCCATATTTCTTTAAAGATATGATCTAGGATGTTGTTAACCTTCTGCTATTATAAAGAATGGTATGTTTGATTCATACCATAAACCTAGAACCAATCAAGGGTTTTTTATTCTGATAAAATGATATTTTAGTAAAAGTATTTCCATACAGATAATGTATCTTACATTTACTTGTCCCTTAGATGATCACAACTTTGTGAAATAAGAATGCAGAAACAGAATCACCTAATCCAGGTTTAATTCCAAGTCCTGGTTTGTTTTGTTGTTTTTTTTTTTCCCCACAACTAGCCATCACTGGTAATGTCATTACCTCTACTAATTATGCCAATAGTCATACAAATGACAGATTCTGCATTTAAAATTTTGGAGAATGTTAACAAAAATCTAGTTAAGTAAATTAGTTATGTGGAATTAAGACAACCTCATGTAGCTTTAATACTCAATTGCTAAGCCCTCAAAGTTTTAATAATTTACTTGCATTTTTAAAAATTTTGCTAATTTCAGACTATTTCATATAGTCCTGTTTCCAAATGATATAACAACTCTTCTGGCCACCTGTATCACTGCAAACTCTAATGTATCTAAAACTGAATTACTTTTCCTCTGATTAGGATTCACCATTATTATCACTCCCAATTTCCTAAGCTAACAAACTTCGGAGAGAATAAAAATAGCCACTGATTATGTGTTTATTAAGTGCCTGATACAACCACTTTACTCAAGTTATGTCATTACAACAAACCTATAAAATGAATACCATTATTATCTCAGTTTTAACCAATGAAGAAACTGAAGCTCAGAGAAGTTAGGTAATTTGATCAAGCTTACATAGAGCAGGTGACAAAACCAGAATTTTAACCCAGGTCTTTCTAGTTCTTCTAAATGCTAAAACAATCTGCAGGATTAAATGTGAAATTAATTTAAGGGGCTGGGATTATTATTTTCTTTTTAAATGAAACAGGAAAAAGAAAAGATGAGCCACCATTGCATGAGCAAGATTGAGTAATGAGTTTTGCTTAGGAGGAGGGAATGTTGTTATAGGGCAGCAACTTCAGCTGTCTTTGTGGGCAGTCAAAAAAAAGTTGAACCTACTGCTCCGTTTGATACTGCCTCTCAGTTACCACCACCCCCTTAAT